GGGAAAAAATACATTTACCGTTTATGCACTTAATAAAACATAATGCAAGTCAGTTTAATGGCTTTTTAGTATGACAACAAATAATCTAATCTTTCAAAAACTGTCACGCTGTCATCTCTGGATTATATTATTAACTCTTAGCTGTCCTTTTCCAACTGATCCACAATTCTGACAATTACTATTTGTGTTACTTGTGCAGGTTTTCAACAGGAACATCGACTATATCAGAGGTAACTTGGATAATACATCCTAAACAAAGCCTGAAAAGAACTGAAGCTAAGATTTGGTGTGTGCGCTGTGATAAAAATACAGAAATTAGAATCTTTATAAATTTATCAAAAACTCGTTTATATACTGACCTTTATCCCTTATTTAAAGTAAAGTTCTCCGTGACAACAAGTAACCACAACACGGTAACAACTAAGGAGGAGTCCGCATTGTTTGACACATTAATGAGCTATGATGCAACTATTCATTAAACCAAAACCACAAAATCAGCTGTTCAGACGAAAATAACCGAGTCTAAAGTGAAGACTCAGCACAGAGGCGAGCAACAGACGCGACATTAAGAACAACAGCCCTGTACAGGGGGCATCGCGTCTTTTTGAATTTTTTTAAAAAAAAACTTTCATTACAGGTGCAACAGTAAGATGGTGGTTATAACTGCGAGCTAATGTAGTTAGCCTATAGACCTACACTTTAAAGATTTAAACGCTCAAAATTTTATTCAAAGTAAGTTTTTACTTAAGTTTTACACGAAAGAGCTCAGTGACTACGCTTAAGAGTACAAGCTTAGCTGCTGGGCTGGTTTGGAATTTTCCCTGGAAGACAGCGAGGAGGAGGAAGAAGTATGTGCACGTGCTTGACAATAAAATTCAAAATCTCGACCTAAACAGTCACCGGCTGCCTCAGTGTTTTCAAAATAGGCGTTATTATTTTGATAGTAGCTACAACGTATATTAAACCCCGTTTTATGCTATTATTTTAGGTTTCGCCTTACCTGTGCGAACTTCCGTTGAGTCACTTCTTTTTTTTTTTTTGTGAAACCTGTGTGACACCTGACACTGCTGCCGCCACTGCGTCACCGCCCGGTGTGGCTCGAGCAGAAAGGTGCAGTGGGAGTACGCGAGACAAACGTCACGTGATTTTATGCACCAATGACCTTAGGTGTTAAATTACTCCTACCTGGTATGTTTGCGTTTGTGCTTGCTTGCAGGGTGAGCTGTTGTTCCCATCTAGAAATTCCGGAGAAAGACCGTTTCTGGCGACGGGAAAGCTCAGGGAAGAAAAACGTGAAGGAAATAGGTTTGGGGGGTTTCTGTGCTTTGTCTTTTGACAGTTTTCAGCAACTGTTCCTCAACTCGCTAACATAATAGCTTGATTGTTAGTGTAGTACTAGTGTTATAAAAATGCAATGTTTCATCCACAGAATGCAGTAAAATGCTTAAAATAGAAAAAACAGAAGTGAGACATACCATCAGTAATCAAAGTCAAACATAGCATTGTGCCAGCTCAACAACATTACTAAAGCCACTATTTAAAACCTGCCTGTGGAAAATAGCCTATTAAATGTAATGGGTGTCAAAACAGGTTGTGTCAGGGAAGGGACATTGAATGTTTGCATGATATTTGCCTTCTAAATAAGAGCAGCTGGATGAGCTACAAGGAAGGAAGATCACAGCTTTAATTTTTATTTTCCACCATTTTGCTCAAGTGTATGAGTCCTTGAGCAAAGTACTATCTGTTCTCTGTGCCAAGGCTGTTACGGGGAACTGAACTCATCTCAAATCGGGCCAAGTGAAATATTTAAGTTAGTGGCGGTTTTTCAGTTGAATAATTTGTGTTCTCTACCAAAGAAATGCATATTTGCTCACTCTTCTACTAATGAGAAGAATTTTTAGTCAGTTTCGTTATCTAATGAGGATCTGTTGCTATTTTGAAAACATTTTAAAATACATTGCTTGCAACTTAAAAGAAGTAACTGGTATCACATTTTTGTAGTGAAACTATTAGAATTATAACAACACACTTCAAAAAGGCTGAGACAGGAGCACACAAGCCTATTTTCTTTTAAGAACATGGGGGACATATTTATTTAAGTTCTACTTGTTGTTGATTATGTTGTGTCTGTGTTTGGGTTATTTATTGCTGATAAAGTTTTGATTATGCGTTTCTAAACTAAACATTTCCAGTTTAGTTTCAACTTTTTTTATTACAGTTTACTTGGTAGTTTGTTTTTGGTTTTTTTTGTTTATTTGTTTGGTTAAGTCTCGGTCTCTCTGTTTGGTGTTGTCATGTTTTTGTTCCTGTTTTATTTTGTGTGCATGGTGTTTCCCATCTCCCTGATTTCCTCATGTGTCTGTTTAAAGTCTCAGTTTGTCTTAGCTCGCTGTTGTATCATGCTGTAATACTATTGTCATGCCTGGGCTGCATTTCTGTTTGTTTTACCTGGACTTTCTGCTGGTGTCTTTGATTACATGCTCTGCCTAAAATTGCCTACCCAATTTCGCTGTGCAAGAAACTGCACAATGACAATAAAAAGCTCTAAGTGTCTAAGTCTAAGTCTCTAAATAAAAGGTCAGACATTTTTTGACAGTATTTGACAGTCTACATTTTGGGTCCTTTATCCACACATGTCTGATTTGCAGACAGAATGCACCGTGCATCACACCACCGCAAGTGCCAACAATTGATACATGAGCATAAGAAATTGACCAGACAGCAGTGGAAGAATGTGGCCTGGTCTGATGAATCAAGTGCTCTTCAATCACGTGGATGGCTGAGTGTGTGTGTATTGCTTGCAGTATGGGAAGAAATCAAGCAGGTGCAGCCAGTGTAATGCTTTGGGCAATGCTGGGAAACCTTGGGTCCTGATGTTACTTCGACTCATATACCTACCTAAGCATTACTATAGGCCTGCCTGTTCTCATGAAAGCCCGCCTTTTCATGGGAACGGTATTCCCTGATGGCTGTGGCCTCTGTCAGTGTGATAACACAGCCTGCCACAAAGCAAAAATGGTTCAAGAATGGTTTACGGAGCACAACAACAGGTTTGAGGTGTTGACTTCAAATGTTGACCTCCAGTCCAGCATCTGTGTACAAAGAGTTCCCATCCATGGAGGCCGCACCTCGCAACTTACAAGACTTAAGCTTGATTTAGACTTCTGCAGGAAATTTATGTCCTAACTTACATAGTAACTGGAAACTCATTTTATTCCTACAGTGCAACCTTCCACGGCATTGAAGTCATTGTGATATGAATTGACCTGACATGTAGTTAAATTCCTTGGGAGGCGCATGTCAAGTTACGTATAAGGTTGCAGTGTAGGGTTAAAATGGAGTTACAGTTATGACACAAGTTATGATATAGATCTGATGCAAAACTCTAATTCACATGTTAAAATTAAATCTGTTGCTAACATCTTGGTGTCAGATACCACGGCACACCTTCAGGTGTCTAGTGGAGCCAATGCCTAGATGAGTTAGGGCTGTTTTATCAGCAAAAAGGGGGACCAAGACAATATATGGCAGGTGGTCATAATGGCCTGATCGGTGTATAAACTGATGTCTTCTACCTGTGATGTAAGGTAATTCAATTACATTTATATATTTCTATTTTTATATGGCATCAGTTCACAACAACTGCCTCAGTGTGCTTTACATTGTAAGGTAAAAACCCTACAGCATTAGAAAAAAACCCAACAGTCACATGACCCTCAGGCTGTTACCTGATATGAGCACCACAGCCTGCTCTGCACCACTCCAACAATAGTGCATTACTGTAAACTTTACCACAAATGTGCAAACTAACCTGATTAGCCTGCACTAAATTTCACTAAACTGTCTAGTAAACTACTTTCACGAAACCTTGTCTTTAAATACCACCAAATTAGCATCCATAACACATCATATAAAAAACACTATCTTTAAAAACACAAAAATTTAAATAGGACATTACATGCATGAGACTGTCCCCGTGTATATACTGTATGTATAGTAACTAGCTATTCATCCTTATTTATTCCACAATTTATCCCAACATCTTTGCACTTGGCACCATTAAACATATGAATATCCCATACATGCGGTTAATGTCTGTGTCATGCTGCTGTGTTGCTGTAGTCTCCACTGTTTGTCTATTCTGTTTACACTGAGAGCAAAGGGGGAAAAAGGAGCTCAATTCCTTGTATGTGTACACAGTCTTGGCCAACAAAGCTGTTGCTGATTTTAAATTTCCGCTTCACTAAACGTTCACTTGCTGAGCAGTCCTTTCTTTTGAAAGTAACACTCATCTTCCTCTCGTCTTGTCAATTAATTTCTAAAATGTATCACGTTAACGTTTTTGTTTGGGTTTTTTTCTATCTCCCTGGGAGAGGAGGAGAGGAGGAGCTACAGAGGAGGGGTTTGTGTTTGCTCCTCCTCTGTAGCCAGCTACTGTAGATGCTGAAACACCGCGACCGCTACCTTACATCTGCACCATGAACACATCACAGGGATGGGAAAGAAAATATCCTAGGTGTTGTGCCAAAATAAGTTAACAAATTAATAAAAGGTAATAATTTTCCAAAAATTTCCTGCCTACACTAGACTACATTACCAGTAAGGCTAGTTTTATGACACAAGCTACAAGATGCGATGAACTATAAAAGCCAATAAGTAATCAATGATATCCAGTATTATATTATTAATGGCAAATAAAATAATCATAGCCTATTCTAATCACCGATTGATATAGATTAATTAGAGGAAATGAGTTTAATTCAAGCTAATGTGTAAAGCAAATACAAAAGGAAGGCTCAAAGTGCAGAATGAAACTGACTAAAAGGAATCAGTGATCCTCACACTACTGACAATGACGTCACCAAATCTAATATTGCTATAGGAATAAAAGCTGCAGGGTCCACAATAATAATAGTAATGGGCTAGTGATGGTTATTAATTTGGCCCCATGTGCACTTCAGCCAAGCATGTGCAAAGCGGCAGCAGACTGAGCTACTACTATAACCCTCCGGTGTTTGTGTGCACGTCCCTGTTTTCTGTCATTTTAAGCGCTCGCTCCTTTTCGTCTGCGTCTCTTCAGTCGTAGTCTGTATCTGCTGCAAACTCAGAGAGACCAGCAGCACCACAACACAGCCACAACAGTGTGGAGTGGGCGTCAAAATCCCCACGCCACTTATGAAAATGGACTGAGTTTTTGTCCGCCCTTTCGAGCCAAGGCTCTCTTGTTCACGGGGAGCTGATAGAAGATGACCCTTTTCTCTTCGCTTGAGGAGGCTTTGCTGCTGTGTGGGGGAGTGGGTTACATCCTGTGGCGTTTCCTGTGTTTGTAAACTAGACGGTACAGAAAACGTCGGGCGAGTGAAGCAGAAAGGTAGGTAAATATATTCCCATTTCTTCTCAGATGCACCGCGGATTCCAAATGTGCATTAAGCGGTCTGGTAGCTTTATCTGCAAAATCCACCGTGTGGTAGTAGAGCAAATGGGGGTTTGCACAAAATTACGGCGTCAATGTTAGCTCTCGCTAGGCCGCTAACAAATGTTAGCTTATTCGTCGGGAGGGGGAGGCACTCGCTGCGACGGCCATCACGAATGCCTTTATTACTCAGTCTTGTCTTGAACCGCTTTAGCTTATATCGTAAGAAGCGTCGTTTTGTAAAAATAATAATATTAATACATAAATCTAGCGAGATATATACTCTCGCTTTGCAGCTGTGTTACATCGGTGACCAGGTGGGCTTCAAAATTTGCTCGATTACTGGCAGTAACATTAGAGTGGGCGAGGGCGCCCGCGAGCAGCTAGCTGATGTTAGCTAGGTTGTTCCAGCATCAGCAGAACTAATGATGGGTTGGGTGGTAGTTTGAAGGCCACCCGTCGGTAAAACTAATAAATTATATTATATTCAGTATAATATAATAATATTGGCTCATTTAATTTTCTCTGCCATCACAAAACACAGCTAGTAAAAACTGAAAATAACTACGCGACGTGTTCGTGTAGTGTTTTAATCAGTGTTGGCTGATGTTAGCATTTCGCTAGCTGTCTGTTTTCCTAGCAACGTTAGCCCTTTTTAGTTAACCCACGCCGATGGCAAAAACCTGGTATAAAAATATTGTTGGCCACGGTTAACCTTTGTAGTGTTGCACAAGCGTAGCATTTAATCCGTGTAATGGTGAGTATAACAACGATTCTTCAAACTAACACAAAACCCCATGAGAACCCCTTCACAAGACAGAGCAGTGTTTCTTTCGGTAATTTAATGGCCTCCTTGTAACATTCGAGTTAACAAACCTCGTGTTTAAAAATACAAAACGCACGTTTAAATGCAAACGATCAGCGTGGGTGCAGTCGGAACTTTACGTGCTTTTTTACTTTATTTAGGCTTATAATTTATTGCATTGCAAGCACTTTTGCATTAGTCCCCAACAGCACACTAATAATCACCCTCACTCATATATATTCCACAACAGCTAAGGTTTTCTCCATGATATCACCCCAAGTTGTACTTAACAAGGGATTCATGTAAACTGAGTTATTTCCTTCAAAATAATAATAACCTCCCCTGATAGAATCGCACCCACGCAGCTGCTTCTTTTGTGCTATTAAATGTTGAATTCTGGTTTGTATTTTACATGTTTTTTTTCTTTTGTTACCTTTCGTACTTAACATATGTTCTGTACTATAAATGATACATGATTTTTTTTTTTTTTTTTTTTTAAATTTCCCATGTTTAAGTGTTTGGACATGCTAATTGTGTCATCAGTCATCCTGGTATTTTTAAATGTGATTTGTCTGACTCTGCTGTAGTTTCTCTGCAGTATGCCCATCTTCACAAGTTTCTGTTTTTGCACAAATATCTACTTAATTCTGAAGACCTGAAGTTTTTACACAAATTGAAACCAGCTAGACTAAAATGACCTTTCATGGTGCCTTAGAAGAGTTTCGTATTTATTACCTAGAGCAAAGTGGACCTTTTTAGATTGTTAGCACAGAGCTTGTTTTTTTTAAACCACTGGGAAAATTTTCATAACCAAACTTCATCCAAATACATACACCAAAAATTATCATTTGGTGTGCACTAGGCTTACAGTATTTAGTAGATTAACAGAAATGGTTCTCAAAACACGGAGCTTTACGATCCTTACAACCTATGCAGCATATACTGCATCTATAAGCTGCACATAAATGAAGTGATGCTAACTTAAAATGTGTAAGAATATTTAGTTATAAATTTGCATGCATTGTAAAGCTACTGTAAAATCGATGCTATATGCATATCTCTTAAATTCACCTCCACACTAATGTCTCAACAGAGACAAATCTAATATGCAGAACTGGGAACAAAACAGATTAGAATTGTAAATTTACCCACCCATATTAATGATCTCTTGCAATCATAGGAGTGTTGTTAATGTTGTGCAAATTACAAGCAACACATTTTTGTTGTGTTAACTAAACAGCTGATTTTTTTTTTCTTGTATTTTGCTGGTGTTGCCTCAGCAATGAGATTAGTATGATTTCTGATCCCAGTCATGATTTGGCATGTTTATTATAAAATGGGGGAAAAAACATAGGTGTAAGGTAAAAATATAGCATGATTAAGTAAATCTTAGCCACAGTTAGTAAACCCTTTATGCAAATCGGTCCAATCATTTGTCCAAATGAGACACATTTCTGTATTATATTTCTTTGGCATATGTAACGGTAAAGACAGCAGGTGCTGCTGTTGTAATTTAATGTTTGTCTGTTTCATCCACATCCTCCTCTTCCTCAGTTTTAATGCTTGATGAGTGAGGTGGGTGTGGCTTCCCACCAGCCCGACCATCCTGACTGACGGATCTCTGGATGACCTTGTCCCCACCCCTGCCCCTGCGCTCACATATACAACAGCAATGTCACATCTGCCCAGCAGCTCAGTCCGCGACCATATGAAATGGGTTTGTTTTAAGAACACCAAAGTGGTGACAAATAACTTTACTTGCAGTCTTGTGTCACTCAGGATGTTGTCGTTGATGACTGCCAAAGCACATTGCGTGCTACTCGCAGTATTGTCTTAGATGCAGATTATTTGAAATTGCAGACTGCTGATTTGTTGAAATGCTTGATGTGTTTGGTAAAGTGTTGTTGTTAACTCTCTTTCTTTGCAGGCGGGGCTGCTTGGCTGCGAAGCGGTCCTGTCCAGTATGGCCCTGATGCAGGCCAGCTCCATGGCCGCTCCACCCAAAAAAATGATGGCTCCACTTGGCCATGCACCACCGCAGAGAGAGGGACCTGACCGCGCTCCTCAGAGCCATATGATCCTCCCATCTGGAATGAGCTGTCCACCCCTGGTTAGGACCCACGTGGGAAATGTGGAGTGGAAATTGGGCTGTTTTATGTTGTGTTACTGATATTGTGAAGGGTGTAAACACTTGGCACAATTCTGAATTATGAAATTCAGAATGTAAGCGGACATCCTATTGTGATTTCTCCCAGTTTAAAACAACTTTTGCTTTCTGTTTAGCATTTTAACTTATAATTTAGATTGGATATAGATTGAAATTGGGATGGAAAAGAGGATTAAACTAAGCACTAACAAGTTATACTCAAGGGTGCGTAGTTGGTTCCCTTTTTAGCCCATTTTCCTTTGTCTTCCACAACTTACAAGTTTTTTTGTTTTGGCAAACGAAACTTGCAATTACCAGAAAATTAAAGAGCACTTATCAGTTCTCCATCAGAAGGTATGCCAAATGGTTTTAAAGTATGTAATGGTTAAACTAAAATTAGAAAATACAAACCTCAACTGTTATATGTGACCAACCTCTGCTGCCAGCGTTGGCAGAAATGGACATAATGGCTAAACTGCATCACTTCAGCTCAGTAATGTCCATACCTTTTTTGTCTCAGAGAGCACTTTTAACCCATTCTTAAAAATAGGAAATAATTAACTTTTTTCTTTTCTTTTTGTCTGGCTTGGTAGCTTATCCGGAAGGAAGGTGAATTCCAAGCTCCCCGCCTGCTGGATGAGAAAGAGATGAGGGCCAACGAGGACATGCAGCAGAAAAAAAAGAACAGGAAATCAGTAACGCCCTGTAAAGTGAGAGAACAAGAAGGAAGGGGAGGGAAGGTCAGTGGCTCTGATTGCTAAATAGGGATTTGTCTCTGTTGCGTCTGTTAATTTTTGCTCACTGCAGAAAATGCGTCCAAGCCGCTTTGTACATATTTTGTAGTTAAAGCATTTAACTTTATTCAAGTGCGCCTGACTTGGATCTCTTGTGTGCACATTTTGTTTGTGTGGGGGTGGGGGGAGGAGCTCAGGGAAGATGTGGAGGGGGTGGAGGATCTCTGGAGAGGAAAGAGGGGGAGGGGAGCAGAGTGAAGCAGAGCACAATAACTGCAGTTGTGTGCATAACAGGGGGAGCAGTAACATGAGGGCATTAGGCCATTGGAAGGGGTTGTGGGGTATTTTGTCAATTCAGATGTAAATGACGTAGTTTGAAAAACAAAACAACCTTTTATGTTGTCTTCATTCATACTGCTGATTTTAAGGATTAGTGGTTATAAATAACTCTCATTTTATATCTTAGGAGAGTAATAGCTATAGGACTGCACTTGCTGACATTTCACAAAAATTAGAATATCATCCAGTTCTGATCAGTTGGACGGGTGCTTTTTTGGGGGTATAACTGAAATGTTAGTACACAATGAAGGTGTAGGATTTAAACTGTTTAACCACTGTTCTTGACCATTCTCCGTAGGGCGCAGGTGGCGATGAGAATGGTCCATCATCCAAAGTGCAGAAAAACTTTATTTGTGATCACTGTTATGGAGCGTTTAGGAGTGGATACCACCTCAAAAGACACATCCTCATTCATACAGGTATGGTTTGTGTTTGGAACAGCTCAAGTGCAGTTAGGCCAGGACAGCCTTTATTGCCTAAATATGTCAATGACTTGTTAAAAGAGGCTTTGAAAGCTTGAGTTATACTGAGTCTAGGAGTGTGCAGCGACTGTGAAGTTTTGCAATGGTCTGCTTAAAACGTTGTTTGGTAATAGCTTTTGCCTCACAGCCACTCGGTATCTGTGGGGACTTTAACTAAAACTGGTGCTCTTCGGTTTAGGGGAGAAGCCGTATGCTTGTGCCGTATGTGACATGAGGTTTATTCAGCGTTACCACCTGGAGAGACACAGCCTCATTCACACGGGTATGCGTCTTTTAACCGTACCCATATTACATAAGTCTGACTACTTATGTAGTCTGTCACTTAAGTCAATGGACAGATGCTCAGGATTCATTTTGTCAGTGGACAGTAATTTCCAACAAAGCCACTCCCAAAATCTGTTCACCTCAAAATGTTCAGTCTGATAATTATGTGTTCCCAATAACTGGAAAGTTTACAGTGGGAAATTGAATAATGTGTGGTCCAATAACCCCGAGTCCACTATTAAAAACTCTTACTTATTCAGCATTTATAACAAGTTTTCTTCCCTCTGGATTATATTTTAATCAGCATCAGTTGTAGAAGTATTTGAAAAATTTTAGCATGTATATTAATTTAGTCTAACAGAAATGATGATACAAATTTCTCTGTGCTCAGTGTTAGATTTAGTGTTTAAAGTGGGTTTTTTTCGTTGTCTTTAGTTGCACTTTTTTTCCCTTTATTTTTGTGTGTAAATATTAAGATACATTTTAGTAGTTTTCTGTTTTAACATTACAACTGTAAACATAATATAGTACATTTCACTCAATAAACTTGCACAGCAGAATCTTTCTTGCTCGCTTACAAATTTGACCAAATTACAAAGACTAAAATAAACGCCTGTTTATATTAGTCAGTTTTGTAACACCGTATTGCTGTTAAACAATTCATTTTTGTCTAAAATCCAGGTTATGTTATTCTAATAAAGTAAAATGTGTTTTTGTTTTTAGTTTATTTTGGCTAACTCTACCGTAACCCTAAAGCAGAGTTCAGCTGTAGGTCTTGTGGAGGCTGAAATTACTACCAAAGCTTTGAAGCTTAGCAAATAATTACCACCACTGCTCAACCCATTAAAACAGCAAAGAAACAGAGGAAAAAAGGACATAGCAGTAGTAAGGTGAAGTCAAGGTGTGTAAAATGAGATGGCTTATCTAAAAGATGAATAGCCAAACAATTGCATACAGCATCTATATTTTGGTACAGCTCAGGAAATTAGTCTGTGTTGTGACTTTGTGCAAATTCAAACTGATTTGTTGGGTCTTGTTTCCAACTTGTTGGCTCTTTGCTTAGACTTGTTCTTTTGGCTGTTTCCTTTTTAATTAGCAAGATAAACATTTTTGATCTGGACTTTTGTTTGTGCAGTGCTGTTTGATCCTCCCAAGATGTCTGTCTGACACACTTGTCTTAACATAGTTTGGTCTTTTTTTTTTATTTTAAATTTAAACTTCTTCATGGCAGATATACCCAAGTTTTCTGATGTTACCTTATGCAGTGCAAAATGATGGAACACAAGTACAACAGACCACATTTGACTACCCTTTCTTCTACACCATCCTTTTTTTTTTTTTCTTTTTCCCAAATATCTGCCAAGACTTTCTTGCATGCAGTTCCTATACAAGTTTCAATTCAGAAGCAGATATATGTTGGTAAACGTTCTCTAAATGGTTGTTTAGAAACCAGCAGTATCGGTACATAGATGAATTATTTATTATTTTTTCTCCCCAATATTCTTAAATTTCTAAATGACAACACCCACAGTTCTCTTAAGACTTTTTGATAGTGGACTTAAAAGTGGAGTTAGACCTGTGGACCCGTTTCTGTGAATTTGAATGCCTGAAAGCACAGACTGCAAAACATGCAATGCATAGTTATTTGTGCATGTTTAAAATCATTTAAATATTTTTTGTATATAATTCTTTTTTTATATGTAGTAAAAATGACTGCATGGACATCAAAGGACTATGTTCTTAGTTTTTTTGTTGTGTTTTTGTTTTGTTTTTAATTAGAGGATTTTGTTTTAAAAAAAATACTTGGATTTTTTTTAAAAAACCTCATTGTTTTAAAGTATGCACTATGTGCAGGTCAAACCTGTTCTTCAGAGCTGCTGCCCCATTAGTCCCCCCATTTTATAAATTTAATTAAAAATTCACCAATAATCTTTAAGAGTAACCACTTGCACTTTGTGGCAAAATTGCATCTGTTCTTTGTTTTCTACATTATATATTATATATATTTTTTCTAACATAATCGCTTATTTATTAGAATGAATAGCTAATAATTTTATGCTCTGTGTGTGTAGGGGTGAAGCCGTACGCTTGTTCCATGTGTGACATGAGATTTTTCCAGCGTTACCACCTGGAGAGACACAGACTCACTCATACGGGTATGCGTCCATTTACCGTACCCAGTTTAACTTTTAAAATCAGTTCTCTGAAATCAAAATTTATGCATTTAAAATCAGACACAAACAGCTTCCAGGTAAACATGCAGCTGGGAAATGGCCTTTTATAGTTTTTCTTTTTGTTTTTTTGTAAAAGGAGAACATTTTTTTGTGGGATTGAACTTTTGAGTAAGTGTTGAACACATTGTTTAAAGAGCTCTTTAGGGTATTTGTTATACCATGAAAGGACTGAATTGTTATATATTCAGAAGAGAGGAAAGGGAAAGTTTATCATGGTACAAAAATGCATCAGCATTTGATTTGCTTTATTTCAATCATTTAACGCTTGAAAAAGACACTTCAGTATACATCAGAATGTTAAATTACATGCATACAGCGACAAATTTTAGCATTTAGCATTGGCCAAAGTTGCTCAGGTGGACTTGTCAACGTACATAATCCCTCTTGTACCATTGCTGTGCACAAAAATCTTCATTCATGCACTTTTTAGCCAAGGGACAAGACTCCTGTACCAAAAAAAAGTTGTCCAAACATTTGAAGTTTCCAAATGTGTTCCAAGGGTTTGATCTGTCATGTTTGAACTTCAGCTGTATTTCGGTAAGTGCTCGTTGTGAAGAGCAAAATAGACAACAGCTTTGTTGAAATGAAATTTAAAAATAATTGACTGTCATCTGAGAATAATTTCATTTTATTAACATTTTTAAATTGTATGTACATTTTTTTATTTTTATTTTTTGTGGTGAATCTCTAAAGAACAACTAGTGTACGAAACAGGAAGTGTTGACTCAAACAACTGGGGCTCTATTGGGGTTACCTGAAGCCCCAAAATATTGGCTGTCCCTTAGAGGTCAAGTCATCACACACAGCTAGTGTAATCCCCGATTGATACTCTTTCTGCGGCTTCACTTCGGGCAAAATGAGTAAAGCTTGCCATCAGCTGTTGTTTATAGCTGCATAGTTGTGTACCAAGTAATCATTAAAAAATGGACTATTACTTATTGATAATTGACTTAGTTGATCTACAAACGAAGATTCAAGAGTTCAATTAGTATTTTTTTTTGTTCTTCTTTGAAAAGTGACATTTCAGTAATGTGAAAATACTGTTTTGCCTAAATTTCACATTTCTGTTAACTGTATGAGAAAAGTCATATTTAAGTAGTTGATTTGATTTGGCCATGGTATATTATGGGAATAGTCCTTTGATGTCCACATTTTAAATGTAAACTAATGGCTGAGGGCTTCATGTTTCTAAGCTGTAACTGCCTTGCTTTTTAATTAACATTCATACAGTTACTCAGTTGCGTCTCTTGTAACTTTATGGCAGAAAGCAGATTGTAAGCTTTTGCAGGCCATCATTTTGGTGTCCAAGAAAGAAGCACGCATCTAGCAACGTGTTTTCTTAATTTTGCTGTAAATGTGCACTGTGTGAGAAAAACCATTTGCTAAAAAATGCTTTGTTTCCACGAGTGATGGTTAACTTTGGAGAATGTTTGTGCTTCGGCTGGCCGGTGTGATCGCGCTCACTAGTTGTCTCGCTGCTGACATGTATGGCTTATGCCCTGTTGCTGCTTTTTTTTTCCCCCCCATAGTGCTATTCAGTTTATTTGAAAATGAGCTGCCCCCCTTTGTTTCACTGATGGGATGTAAAACAAATCGCTGTTTGCATGAAGCCTGGTTAGAATATGAAATGCCTGCCAAAGTCTTGAGTAACTTCATGCCTTCCTTTGAAGGAAGGTCTTAGCTAATATGTTGATACTTTGTGTATGTAGGGGTGAAGCCGTACGCTTGCTCCATGTGTGACATGAGGTTCTTCCAACGTTATCATCTGGCAAGACACAGCCTCACTCATACTGGTATGCGTCTGCTTACCATAGTTCATTAGGTAGACGTGTTTTAAGTGTCTTAGCTTTCTACCTTCGTGCATCGTGAATAGGATTCAAGCCCCCCAAAAAATAAATAAATAACATGTTGAAGAGCTTGAGGATGTATCCAGACATGTAATAGGAGGATGAAAAAGTGGTAAACCTTTAGTTGAAATCTTGCATACATAGTAGGGGTATGTAAACAACCTCAGCTTTTCCCCTGCTGAAAGCTCTACTTTATCTGTACATTTATACTGTTTTTGTTTTGTTTTATCTTGTTTTTTTCCAAATTTCACTGAAATAAGTTGAGTGTTATCATAGTTCCTATAACCACTGCTAAATCTAAATTGTGCGTTGGCTTCTCAGGCCGATTGGTATAATATGTGAAACAAAAAGAAGAGCTATTCTAAGGGAAGAGTTGTGGTCAAGTGTTAAAAATTGATGCCATTTCTAGCTGATATTTACAAACTTTTATGTGTGTAGGGGTGAAGCCATACGCTTGCTCCATGTGTGATATGAGATTTTTCCAACGCTACCACTTGGCAAGACACAGCCTCACTCACACGGGTATGGGTCTGCTTTTTTTTTTTTTTTTTGCTGTCTTGGTGCCCATATACCCAATTTTAAGTTGGCAGGCCACTCCTTTTTATAGGACCAAATTCTCATAGACATCAAGCATTTTTGTAACTGTTGAGGCATATAAGGAGTGCATATCAGTTTTCTACCTCAATGTTACAATAACGGTCATCTTGATGAGTACTTTGAGTCAATTTTGGCTCTCAAAAAGCTTGTTGGCATGAAAAGTTTTAAGTTTGGCAAAAGACATTTTTGTTTGTTTTTTTTCCCCCCACCCACCCTTATTACAGACATGTTAACAGATTATGAAATGTTAGACATGTGCATATACTGTGGCGCTGTACTGGTGCCACTGCTTTTGGCATGTCTGGATACATTATATAAGTGAGTCCTTGAATTCATTGTGCTTATTTTATTATTGTTATTACTATTATTTTCAAAGGATTTTGCTCTGTGTGTGCAGGGGTGAAGCCATATGCTTGCTCTATGTGTGACATGAGATTTTTCCAGAGATACCACCTGGCAAGACACACTCTCACCCATACGGGTACTAAGTTTTACTTGTCCCTCTCACTTAACACCATTAGGGCTTGTTGATATTTGTTTCTATGTGTGTGAATCACCTACTCGACAGACACAAAGCAAGCTGTGATTTTTTGTTACTACATTTTCTTGATTGTTAGACATTAAGAATTAATAGTTTTGTCTTTTCTGTTGTATACGTTGTATTTGCTAACTGCTGTTAGGGTTTATGTGACACATTTTTCTGTCTTGTATGTTTAGAATTAGCTGGTCATGAAAGTACTTGCTCTTGTTATTAAGTAATATTGACTAGTTTATGTAGATTGACCAAATTTTGTGCACATAGTTCATGAGAACTTTTTTTTTATTATTATTTTTGTCCCCCCTAAAATTTCACACTGTATGCGTTTAGGGGTGAAGCCATACGCTTGCTCCATGTGTGACATGAGGTTCTTCCAGCGTTACCATTTGGCAAGACACAGCCTCACTCATACTGGTATGCTTGATTAATTGTTCCCCTTTCACTGTGAAACCTTATATATTTATAAACCTTATACTCATTTGTTTTATGTTGATTTCACCGTCTTATATGATACTATAATTATCACATTGTTGGTAAATTAATTCCCCCTCATAAAAAAACCCAATGTTTAATAGAGCTTTTAGGCTTTGTTGGAAAACTGTCCACAGAAAAAGTGACTCTGTCAGTTACCTTGTTTTGTGATTAACACTGTAATGGCACTATTGCATGGTTATTCTTGACTATTGTATATTGAATGAAAGATACATTACATTTAAAAAGCCTTTAAATTGCAGACATTGGTAGTATAAAATGTCATTTGCAAGTACCTGTTTCCCCACATCTGGAGAAACTAAATATTGGTGATTTTTTTTTTTTAATTATTTTTTTTAGTGGGTAATCCGTAAGTTTCAACCAAACTTTAACATGTAAAAATCGGTTTCTTTGATTATTTTTGATTTCTTAATGCGCCCTTTAATGTCTGTATATTGTTAGTCTTTTCAGTGTAATGTGTTGTCAGTAAAAAGGCATGCTACAATAGTTAATCTGTCATTTATTTAAGTCTTGGTGTTTATCACTTTCACCAGTGTGTTGATATACATCTGATGTTGTTGTGCTGTCTTTAGGAGTGAAGCCATATGCTTGCACCATGTGTGACATGAGGTTTATACAACGTTACCAACTGGAGAGACACAGTCTCACTCATACAGGTATGCCTCGCTTTTTAAATCTTGCCCCCCTCTCACCCTGACTTTCCCCTTGCATGTGCCCACAAATAATGTTTACATGGCTGCTTCAAACTCGAGTTTGTGTTGCTTTCTATCACTTTTCTGACAAATGCTAATTTGTCATGATCTACCTGTAAGAATTGGTGTAGTAATATTTCCCCCATACTTTGTATATGAAATGACATGATGACTATAAAGTGAAAACTCAGTACCACTCTAGTCTCTAGTGTTTATTTAGCTATTAAAGTCATAATTATGTGTGCTTTTTTTTTTAAAAACCTAACAATTATTGTGGTAACTCTGTTTGATACTTCGGCAGAGATGGGCAGTAACGCATTACTGTAATCCGATTATGGGTTTCAAGTAATGAGTAAAGTAAGGGATTACTATTGCAAAAAAGTAATTAGATTACTGTTACTTTCCCGTAAGCAGCCTGCGTTACTAAACTGTGATTTTGTTTGTGAGAGTGTCTGATAACAATGACGTACAAGCATACGACGTCTGTGGCAGCAACAGACATGTGTAGATCAACAATGGATAATATGGAGAGAGTACGACCACAGTTTGATTGCGTAAAAGTGACAAAAACATTAGCGTCCGCTGTACACTCTACATGTGAAGAAAACTTCTTTCAACACCGAAGTATTAACCTTTAAATTTGAGCAAGCACCTATCACGCTGCCATGGGAATGTGAAATTCACAGAGAAACCGCTGGATACCCCCACTGACATGACCGCTGCGTCACCGAGCATACCTCCACTGGCCCCACTCACTGGAATATGCAGAAAATAGGTTCAAATGTTAAACAAATTTCTTCCAGTCAGAGACGGTTGCATATAATTGAATTTTTGCTTGATGCAATGTGCATAAAGTTAAGACGTTTTCATTTGATTCAAATTTATATGATGGATAATGCAGAAAAAGTCGAATTAGGCTGAAAGGTCTATTGTTTTATCATATATTCAGGTTGTGTATCGTGTGGGTTTTTTGTTTTGTTTTTTGCGGGTGTTTTTTTTTTTTTTTAAAGTAACTAAGTAATAAAGTAACTAATTACTTTTGAAAATAAGCAATCAGTAAAGTAACTGGATTACTTACAGGGAGAAGTAATCAGTGATTTGTAACTAATTACTATTTGCAAGTAACTTGACCAACACTGCATTTTGTAATCTCTAAATGAAACATTTGTGAAAAAAAAAGTAATGTTAGTTTAATTCAGCTGTTTATTTTATTTTGTGGAATTAAACTCAAAATTCAAGAGCATGAAGGTGGTGTGTCTCCAACAAATGTTTTTATTCAAAGTACAAAAGATGATATTGACAGTTATGACATTGTCATATTTGCACCATTTACAGTATGTATCAACTTTTTATATTAAATCTTGTAAACTGTGTGTGTATGGGGAAGAACAGAAAAAGGAGAGTCATATTACTTGCAGCTTTGAATATTACAGTTAGCCAATTATCTTGATGTAATGAAAATTTTTTTATTAAAAGATGAGTGGGCTTTTTTGTTTGTTACATGTTGATACTGAATTTAAGATTTGGTCATTGGGAAATGTGCAAATTTACAAACTGAATTAAGGGGTGTATGTTTTGTGGCCTTGTTGGAAGAAGTGGGAGGGGACTTTAAGGGAAACATTATCTTTTCAGTTGATGGGAATGTTACTTAGATCGGGACTGCCACTATCCAGGCCAGTGTTTGTTTGTTTTCCCCCCCACATAATCGTGTCATTTCACATTCAAAGTGATGGTCAGGAACTAACACAAGCTTCTCTCTTTTAAAAAAAAGCTGTATATTTCCAAACTACAGATTTCTCTTATGGAAGATAAAGTTAATTTGTGCTTCGGTGCTAGGATAGGTTCTGTATGATGATTTTCAGAGCAGTTTCCTGTTAATTCTTGCTCCGCAAATGAATGTGCAAACTTAATGTCTTGTGCAGAGTTGTTTGCCAACTGCCTAAAATTGTCACACCTTCTGTGATCAGCGTGAACAAATCTATTCCAGAAAACCTTTATGTGGTATGTTGAAATTACACGATTAGAAGCACCCATTGACATAGTGTGAAAAACTTTTTGTTGTGCTAGTTGGAATGTGGACTTCAATTTTCAACCCAATTTTTTATTTCTATATTTTTTTTTGTCATTTTGATAGGTTTGGTTTTTTTGGTTAGGAAAATTTTAATTCTCCTTTCTGCACAGGGCATTTTCCTTATTATTCAGAGATGCAAATGTTTTCCAATTGGAATGACAGATTATTAAAGCACGCTGGAATTTCCAGTTTAAACAAAGCGCTGATAAGTGCAGCCAAACTTTACTAAGGAATTAGTAAAGTTTAACATGGATCAATTTTGGCAGTTGAGTGTTTTTATGCTAAAGCTGGTACTTTGTGTGTATAGGGGTGAAGCCGTACGCTTGCACCATGTGTGACAAGAGGTTTTTTCAGCGCTACCACCTGGCGAGACACAGCCTCACTCATATGGGTATGCGTCTGCCAATCTTAAAGCTGTCACAAAATTAGGATGCTTCTACATGTGTATGCTTGAGCTAGTCTTGTAAATCTGTATTCAGACACAGTTTATGATAAGATTCATTCTAAGTATAATTTCAGCTAGATGACATTATCAGCTCATGTTTAAGTGAACTTAAGAGCCCCTCTGGGAAGTTTGTAATTTGAAACAAGCATCTTAGATTGTACCCCTGTAAGTTACTTCAGGGGTATGACATTGGTTATTAACCACAGATATCAATTTAATCCACACTGGCACATTTAATTTATCAGGCATAATTATAGATACATTTTTTTTCTCTGTTGTAGAGAATCAAAAATAATTCTCTTGATGCTCTGCGTTTAGGTGTGAAACCTTACGCTTGTACCATGTGTGACATGAAGTTTTTTCAGCGTTACCACCTGGCGAGACACAGCCTCACTCATACGGGTATGGGTCCGTGCACCGTGCCCATGACATGTGTTGTTAGCAAGTGTGCACATTTAATTTAGTTAGTTTGTCTTATTACTTATATTTAGGGGACATGTCATGTATAAATATTATAAACATTTTCTTGTCTTTTGTTAGCGGTCAGCAGTCAGAATCAACAGGATAACCATAATTCAGTATTTTGCTGCTTTGATTTTTGTTGGCAATTCTAATCTAAATTTATTTGGGGAAAAAAGTTCTGGTTTTGCATGAATTGGCCACTGTGTGGTTAATAACCAATAGCTTAAATATTTTTTTCTAAATTTAAAAAAAAAAAAAGGAAAGAAAGAAAGAAAATAAAGGAAAAAGAGGGAGAGACCATGAGGCAAAGTAATATAATATTGCTACTTTGCGTTTAGGTGTGAAACCTTATGCTTGCACCATGTGTGACAAGAGGTTTTTTCAGCGCTACCACCTGGCGAGACACAGCCTCACTCATATGGGTATGCGTTCGCCCACCTTACCCATTTCACTGAAATCAGACTGTATGTGCATTTTGTTACGAGTAAGCTGTTTATGCTAGTTACTTTAAAGTGGCCAGAAGAATGATGTTGATGAAGCCTACCCTACATTATGTTCATAATTGTAACGTTTTATGTGACTGTGAGGAAATACAGGACTGCAACATCATCAGCTCATGTAATGTGTTAAGCTGTGGATTTGAGAATTGGTTCAGTTTGTATTCTTTACTGGAATTGGATGAACAACAAGTTACAGCTTTAAAACAAAGGAAATTAATAATAGTGGTTAACAACCCATCAATTCTGAATAAATTAAGTAATTTGCTTATTGATGGATTGTGAACACAAAAACGAGTCTGAAAATAATACCTTAATGCTTTGCATTTAGGTGTGAAACCTTACGCTTGTACCATGTGTGACATGAAGTTTTTTCAACGTTACCACCTGGCAAGACACAGCCTCACACATACGGGTATGCGTCAGTGCACCTGCCCATAACACTTTATATTGGTCACTGTCACACAGCTATTGTACCAATATCAAGTATTACCAAGTACCACCAGTTTACATCTTGCATAGCTATATAGGGAATTTATAGAGATGCACCGATTGCAATTTTTCTTGGAGAATCCGGTTGCTGTACACCTACCAAACAAATCAGGTTCAACAGATTTGTATAACAAGACAAATGTCAGGGCCGGCATCATTTTCCATTATCCTTGTAACTTTACCACATAACGTGTCATTGACTTTTTTCTGTTTTTCACTTATCTCCATAATTTCCCTTGATATTAACTTCTTAAAATCGTTGCTTATACCGAGGCTCCTGGTTTGCAGATAGCTCTGAGATCTGGCTAGCTTTAGTCACGTTCATGTTCAATGGGATCAAAGTGATTTAAGTCTCAAACATTTTTGTGGTGATCCTCCCCAGTTTAGTTTGCCAAACTTTGTGCCTTGACTCAAAGTGAGGAACTTAGATGCTAAGGACATGTTAACGTGTGGCTGTGACCGTGGATGTGAATTGATTAAGCATGCATGAAACTCATTAGTAACCCAACGTATGGGAGCCAGTCTGGGCCGACAATGTTGGAAAAAGGACGATTCTGCTCCTTCATGAGTCAATCGGTGCATCTCTAGTAATCTAATTAAAATAATAGACACCCTTTTGAGCACATAGCATCTTTTGAAACAAAATTAACTGTAGAACTCTGGACTGTAGAGACATTTGGCTAATTAGAAAAATCAGAGAATCTTATTTCTTGTGAAATCCTATTTCATTACTTGCCTAAAAGGAGAGATCACTGTTGGCAAAATGCTTAGTTAGTATTAAGACTAAACAGGGGTCCTGGGTCCACCACACACATCTCCGCACGGTCTGTCTCCACAAACCGTGACAGTACGACCATGCTTTTATAGAAAGTGATGGTCTTTATTAAAATTTACCCAGAGCTTCAGTTGTAACTCTTTGGAGTCTTGATTAATATAGATAAAATGGTCCATTAACTGATTTTTTTGTGGGTATCTAGTGTTTCATGAAGAAAACATTTGGCATCTTTGTTTTGCATGCATTGGCAAATGTGTGGTTAATGAATAATATCCTAGATTTTTATTGGTAACATGGAAACTGAGGTAAAATAATATAATATTGCTACTTTGCGTTTAGGTGTGAAACCTTATGCTTGCACCATGTGTGACAAGAGGTTTTTTCAGCGCTACCACCTGGCGAGACACAGCCTCACTCATATGGGTATGCGTCCGCCCACCTTACCCGTACTACAGTACTTTCATTATGTTAAATATAGGGACAGTTACTATTATTCTTACTAAGTAGTGCACTTATCTTAATCAAGGCTATCCTGTATTATCTGTGAAAGGAAACATTATTACAAATCTTGGCATGTACGTAATTCTTGGACTATGATATCATCAGCTCATGAGATGTGTTTAGCTGTGGATTTGAAATTTGAACAACAGTTTAATGTATTCTTAATTGGATTTAGAGCGTAATCTTTGGCTAGATTAAACAAGTGAAGCATGGTTAACAACCCATCAATTGTAAATTGATGTTAAAAGTACAATATTGATTGATGGATTGTAAAACAGAAGCTCAAAGACCTGAAATTAACATATTGATGCTTTGCATTTAGGTGTGAAACCTTTTGCTTGTACCATGTGTGACATGAGGTTTGTTCAGCGTTACCACCTGGCGAGACACAGCCTCACTCATACGGGTATGCGTCCGCGCACCTGCCCTTATCACATTGTATACAGTACTGTGCAAAGGTTTTGGACAGTCAAAATAAAGCAAGGCTATTTTAAAAGATGATGCCATGAATAGTTCACTTTAAGTAACTCCATATAAAGACTTCATATTCTGCCTGTTAGTTATAGGAGAACATGCCACAATTTTTTTATTTTTTATTTTTTTTTGTCTGTATCGACTGTTTCAGCGCGTTCTCTCCATGTAATCCCAGACCATCTCCATGATGTTATGGTCATGTAGAGGGCATCTGTTGTAGAATATGATGTTCATTTTGTCACTGATCTTAAGTTCTTTGTAACTGTATTTATTTAGGGTTGTTTTACTAAAGAATGAATTGGACCAATCAGACACCTTAATTATAATATTGTTTGATGTAAAAAAAGATATTAAGAACTCGAGTTTCTCAAACCTTTTCACAGTACTGTAGATGACTTTTATTTATTGTGTAATATAAAGGATACTTCTGTGTAGTTATAAAGTAGGCACATCGTTTAGCACTTCTTAGGGAGAATACTTTTGGATCTAAAACGGTATTTTATTCCCCTAGGGGTTTGGTTAGTTGCGCCGAATGTTTGAATTGCCATTGTTCACACTTTTTTTTTTTTTTTTTACATTTCTTATAATGCTGAAAATAATCCTCATGAAAATGTATAAAAGGTATTATCACAGTTCAGTGTTTACAGCTGTTTCTAGACAGATATGAGAGTTTGCTTGCAGTCCAACAGCACTAGCCATTAAAGTCTGAGCATGCGCTAAAAAAAAAACTAAACCCAAAGTTGCCAAAAATAAATTTAAATTTAAAAAAGGCCTGAAAACAACAACATGTAAGCAGAATGGAGTAGGCAATACGGCTAAGCAGACAATGCACAGTCAAGTTACGCCTTAATGGCAAGTTGCTAACTAACTTGTAAAATATTTTGCTAGTAGGTGATAACCTACCCAACCTCTGACTATTTTTCTCTTTAAATGCATACTACAGAATATTGTGTATCAACAGTAGCAAATGATACACTGGAATCATTTGAACTCCACAGAAATCATTATTAGCCTCAAAATAAACATTAGCTG